AATCGCCGAGAAGCAGCTGATTGAAGTGGCAGGCAGCGGACGCCAGCAGCAAATTGTAAGCGCAAATGTGGACCCCGGCCGGGCGGCGGCAAATCAAAAATTATGACAAACAAAAATCGTCCTCACTTCGGGCAGAAGTCAATAAATTTGYTGGTTTAATGGCGGCAACAAACGCACACGAACACACGCTCACACATATGCAGCACTCATGCGTGCAYATATATGTATGTATATATGTTTGTGTGGGTATGTGTGAGAGAAAGAGGGTGTACGCGAGTGTTATTTTTAGGCGTGTTCACATGTGTGCGTGCTAAACTGCTGCCGGTTCGCCATGTATACATACAAACACACATGCATGCTTATAATATATGCTGGCGGATGACATGCCAAATCATGTTGTCTGTTTATGGCTGTAGCCCAAAAGTATGCTTATCAATTTCGTTTTCATTTGTGTTGTTTTGATGTTTGTGCACAAATGTTTTGTTGTAGGCAATAAAATATCGGATTAATAAAATTGGTAAATAATAAATACCATATTAAAGGACTTATTGAACTTTGAGTGATCATAGGGAACTGTTGTTTTTATTTTTTTTTTGTAATGCTATCTTTTATGGTTGCGTGATAAGACCGGCAGGACATATTTTTTTTTTTTATGGCATACATTAAAGAAAATATGGATTTTTACTGGTGCTGATAAAACGTTATGTATAATATATACTTGTGCGATGTTTCGGAAATTTTCGTAAACAAGTACCGTTTATAAAACTGTTATGTGTACAGATGTAAGTACAAAGATAAATGTGTTGCACATAAATTGAGCAAATCAAGCATTAGTGCGATTAGTAATGGTGACGGCAATAAACAAGTTAAAAAACATAGCAAAATAAAAATGCTCTCTTAAAATTTTGTGTTGTAAGAAACTACTTGGATTATTATTTTTAAACTTGACATAAAAGCAAATTGTATCAATAGAGCAATCAAATGAGCGAATAAATATAATATAATCCTTGTGTTTGAGTTTGAACTTGTGAACTGGTAATAAGAAAAATTGGTGCTATTCTATTGGGACTTTAAAACTATATCTGATTAGACATACTAAGTGTATATCAAATCTCAAGCAGACTTTTCCGCAAATCAAACATTTCTTCTTCAAATAGTCACACAGAAAATTTTTCAACAAAAAAACAGAAAAAAAAWWMMAAAAAAAAATTGTGATGTTTTGGGAGCAAAAAATTATTTGAAATTCATCAAAAGCCACTAAATGTCTTAAAACTTTCTACTCACGTCATCATTGGCTGATATTTTTTCAAACCAAGCAGAAAAAAACAATGAAAATTGATGTTGAAATTTGTACGAAAATGCATGGAACAGTTCTTGACTGTTACTGATTGCTACGGGGTGACGCAACAGACCACACTGCAAATCGAACTACTTAGTTTCTACAAGAAAAATTTAACTGAACTTCGAAAACAGAAAAGAGATTATAACAATAACATARAAATTTGGCATGGCGCTACATTCTACGAATATTTTCCTCAGATCGGTTCATGACAGTCTTAGCTTCATCATTGTGTCAAAAATATACCTAGAAGATTTACCAGATCGACAACGAAGGAGCTTTAGAACCAGACCTGGCGGTGGAATCCATTTTTTGACGATTGTTAATTTATTGACTTTGCTTACGAATATAAATATAATCTTGATTGTAACCACTATGCAATACTAGTCAATTCTTTCTAAAATAATCGTAAGAGTTGTATATAGAATTTTGAGGCATTTAAAATTTAAGAAGAACACCAAAAGTGGCTACAATACGCAATGAGGTCTGGACATACTGCGTCTGGCATAACTGCAATGTTTACAGTAAGGAAAATGCTTTAATATGCTTTAATATTGACGTAAATGAGCACAAGTATAAACAAAGATGCAATAATTGAAATTATAAATTTATTTTAACCCTTGGTGCAATGMCAAATTTAATACGCCCCATTAAGTCAAATTATGCCATTTATCCATTGTGKGCACCAACAAATGATAAAAGCTATTTGAACTTTTATGGTAGCCGRAGAATTTAAAACAAAGCTTTTAAATCAGTACGACCGTCGGTTTGGAGGTATAGAGTACCGTATTTTATTGGCAGTATCAATTTTGCCCTATTCAAAATGTACTTTCAAAATCCGATGACTCTSTCTGCAGTAATGCGTCATATAAGACAAGAAATGACCGAAATCGAGAATGAGAAATAGCGTGGCAGAGCAAATTCCAGCGCAGGCGACAATGAATGGGCTACTCATAAAATCCATGGAAAAAGAAGCAAACACGATTTAACGCTGACACAGAACGCATTAAGTTTTTCTGTTAATGCACCGGTTCTGGAACTAAAACGTGACGTAGTGGTTTTCAAAACATTTGCTTTTGGATTAAGTTTAAAAAAAATTAAATAATAATTTGAAGGAAGTATATAAAAATTACGTTTTTATCAAATCAAAATTTTATAATTCGAGGCTTTTTGTACGTATGTTAACTTTAACTAAAAGCTGAAAAACAGCGATCATTTAATCGGTTAACTAATCGGTTATTCAAGAAATTGTGAAGAACAATTGCAATTCATAATCAAGGCAAGCTCAAAAAATCATATGATAATTTAATAATTATMCGATTAATTATACTAATATAATTTTTTATACTTTTTGAAAAATTCTGTAACTTCCCAACATCTAGGGGACTGGTGGAAATCAATAATACAAAATTATGGCGACTTTCGGCTTTTGCTGAAGGAAATTTTTGTTTTCTCAGTTAAGCTTAGTATCCAGYTCTCAAGAAATGTTTTGCTCTTCTATTGTGGATCATTCACAATGCGTGAATTGAGAAATAATAATTTTTTTTTCTTGAATAATTACTTGAGAGCTGGATACCAACCTTAACTCACTCAGCATTCAGAAATGGTTTCGTTAGTTTAATACACGTAACAATTCTAAAAAAAATCATTTGATTCGCCTTCTTATTAAAGCGCCATCTGTCAAAAATATTTTTAAAGGAATGAACTTCGGTTTTCGTAGATTTYACGTTCCTAAATAAATATGACTGTTACGTTGTATTTTTAATTTATATATGTATATGTGTAAAATTATGATATACAAATATAATTTAAGATGTTTAAAAAATATCAGAAGTTTTGTGGAAATATTTGCAGGCACATAAGATGCTACATATACTATTTTACTTACTACAATGAACAAATAATAGTAAGACTTTCAATTTAAATTTCGCGTGAAAACACATTCTTCGAAATATTTTTTTTGCTAKATTGGTGACGTCTGTGTCAAATGTCACATCAAAATAATCATTAGTGCTTAGTATACGCTTGACTTTGTGAAATATATAAATGTGTTCGGCGATTTTTACGAAAAGTGAAATAAGTCAACAAAGAACTTCCATTAAATTTTGCATTCGGAATCAAYTTTCTGGTGCCGTAACGTTCATTGAGTAGAGACGTTTGGTGATAATGGTTTGTCGTGAGCAAGTATTTTGTTCTTACCATGTCAAAGCTGGTCAAAAGTTATGGTTAAGTTGACAGTTTTCTTCGATTATCGAGGTGTGGTGCACGTTGATTTCAAACTGCCAACGAGGAATACTTTTTTTTATACTCTCGCAACAAAGTTGCTAAAGAGAGTATTATAGTTTTGTTCACATAACGGTTGTTTGTAAGTCCTAAAACTAAAAGAGTCAGATATAGGGTTATATATACCAAAGTGATCAGGGTGACGAGTAGAGTTGAAATCCGGATGTCTGTCTGTCCGTCTGTCTGTCTGTCCGTCTGTCCGTGCAAGCTATAACTTGAGTAAAAATTGAGATATCATTATGAAACTTGGTACACGTATTTCTTGGCTCCATAAGAAGGTTAAGTTCGAAGATGGGCAAAATCGGCCCACTGCCACTCCCACAAAACGGCGGAAACCGAAAACCTATAAAGTGTCATAACTAAACCAAAAATAAAGATATTAAAATGAAATTTGGCACAAAGGATCGCACTAGGGAGGGGCATATTTGGACGTAATTTTTTTGGAAAAGTGGGCCCCGGCCCCTTCTAACTTTTTTGTACATATCTCAAAAACTACTATAGCTATGTCAACCCTGTCTCTTATACACATCTTTTCGTGATGTTTTCGCAAAATTTTCAACCAATTTCGTGTCGCAACCACCGTATTCTCCTGATTTAGTTCCGTGTGACTTCTGGTTATTCAGAAAACGCAAACGACCGCTCCGGCTAAACCACAAATCTTATATTGGGGACAAACGGAATTACTTGGTGGGGGACGTTAGAGGTTTTTAAGAATAAATTAAGAATTTTAAAATTGTGAACGAAGTCTTGCAATTTTTGCTCATAGTAGTATATATGTACATACATATGTTTATAAAATGTACTAAAAACTTAAAAAACACCGTAAATATACATACTGACTTGACAAAATAATACAATTATGCTAAGAATTAAAAAATCGTAAAATAATATAATAAATGCTAAACAAATTGGGTAACACAACAATACAACGAAAAGTTAACAAGACAAACCACGCAATGGTTGCAAGCAAACAAAATAATGCGYCCAGGAACACCCCCACACACACGCCCACACTTGAACACACACGAATTCTCGCTTGACTGCGAAGTAATTGGCACTGGCAGCACACCGTTAGAGGACTATTATCGTTATGACTTCATTTGAGGTGTGCCCGCGGGGTTGTTCTGGGGCCAAACAGGCAAACAAACAAACAAAAGGTGCGACGTAAAGAAATAACAGGAAACGACAAGGAAAAACATAAAACACAAACAAAAATTGGTTTTTGAGAAAACACATAAAACAACGTGCAACGTGCCGGTCATGCCACATATACATAAGGCCACATGCCACATGCCGCATGCTGCATGCAAAAGCCGCTTTCAACTTCCAATAGGATTTAGCGTGCTGATGAGCCTCATTTACGGTCAACTTTACTTACAGTTTGCGGCTGCTGCACTGACGCTGATGCTGCTGATGATGTGGCATGCTGCAGGAATACCAAAGGACCGACAACACCACCGCCGGCAACGCCACCACCGCCAGCGCCATTGTTTGCGGTCTTGTGCAGCAAAGATTTCGGCTGTTGCACAATGGGCGGCTTACCGTTGTCGAACTGGTAGTAGAGCACATCGGTGGCAGGTGTGGCGCCACCATAAAGCATAGCGCTCTCCACACCGCCCGCACCGCTGCTGCCGCCGAATGCTGACTTGTAAAGCGCTTGCTGCGGTGGCGGCGGATCGGCGGTTTGAGCGCCCGAAATGTGATAAGCTGACATTTGTGGATGCAACTCCGGCGACGCATGTTGTTGCTGCTGGTGCTGTGGCTGCGGCTGCGCTTGCCCAGTGCCACGTAGAAAATCGGGCATTTGCGGCATTTTGTAGTTGTAGATGTAGGGACGCTCGTACTCGGCCGTGCTGCCGCCGGCGCTGTGATGTATGTAGGAGAGAAAGAGATCGGACTTGGCGGGATGCAGACGCGCATCGAAGCCACCCATGCCAGCGGTGTGTACGGGCGTCGGTGTGTGATAGTAGCTTGATGCGGGCATCTGACCGGTGAGTAGCTGCGTTTTGGTGATGGCCTGTCCGGAGAGTCGTCTTGTYGGCACGCCAATATCCGACTTGGCGTCGCGCTTCTTGATGTGCAAACCGGCGACCGACGACGGTCCCTGATAGTAGTAGGGCGCTGCAGGCGTATTCGGCCATTCGACGAAGCTATCCATGCGATTGGTGCTAGAACTTAAATTACTACCACAACCATAAGCATTATCAATAGCACCACAACCACCACCACTAAGAGCACCTGTAATATTACCGCTACTACCGTTACCACTACTGMCGTTATGACCGTTGCCGGCTGACGCACCAGTCGATTTGCCAAAAACATTATTCAAACTGAATTTGTATTGATTGTTCTCGAATGTGGTGTAGTTCAGTAGACGATTGCCAACACCGCTGTTGTTGCTACCACTGTTGTTGTTGTTGTTGYTGTTGCTACTGTTGTTTGCGCWCGAGTGTGTKGCCTTTGAGGCGCATTTCTCATTAGCGTTAGTAAGGTTAGTGGTCGAATGATGGGCGGAAGCAAGGGACGTGGGACCGTGGGAGTTGGATGATGAGGTGTGTATGGGCGCCAACGATTTACCCATTTGATGGTTGGAGTTGGGGTTATTGTAAAGGGGTTTCGTTTGTGCTGGCTGTTGTTGTTGTTGTGATTGGCGTTGTGCAAAGCATGATGTTTGGCGTGGCGTAGCCTGTTGTTGTTGGTGTTGCATTTGCTGATTACTCACAGTTTGTTGCATTAAGCTGTTGTAAGTGGTTGTGCCACCGCCACCGACTCCGCCTCCTCCACCGCCGCCGCCAATGGATTTGCGATGACTGCCGCTCGAGGCGCCCGAAGATTTATTGGTTCCATACCGTGTACTATCGCTAGATCTAGATTTGAAGAGAAGCAACAAYAATATATGCAAAGAGCTGGCAGGAGCACAACAAATAAGACTTAGGCGAGTGCGTACATCGACAGTTTTTTATTTGAGACAACATAAATATAAGTTGTTGGCGTACTCACCGTTCGGAGGAATAGGCGTAGTCTTGATCGGCACCGAGTCCGGAATCGGTGTGTTCATGTGAAACACGCAACGCTGAATTCTCTAGTGGGCTAAGGTTAGAGCCTGTCGGTGAGATGAAGTCGCCCATACTCATGCTGGACATCATTCTGTAAACAGTTGGAGTTTAGTTAGAGAAGTAAAGGGACATTTCTGMACATTTTGGCTTATGACTAAAAAACTGCGAGAAAGATAATATTATATATTGAGCTTACTCAAAGAAAATTTGTCAAATTGTCAGGGACTAAAATTCGCTTAAGTCGTTGTCAAGAACCTCTGACTTTGAGCCAAAATCCCAACTTGTGATAATATCTAACAAGTTAACTAAGGAGTAGTTATAGGATATGATATTATAACAAACCGATCTAAATGAAATTAGATCTCTGAAAATGCAGCTCTTAGCCGGATAAAATCCGGGTCAAATCTGGTATTGTAGAACCGGCTGTTGCGGGAATTGGCCACCTGGATGCACTGAAAAGCAGAAAAGTAAGCTGCAAGCATCTCAGAACACTGCACTCAGGGCTACAACAGGATGTCTCTTGATGTCTCCTATCGAACAACTGCATATTGAGGCCCGTATGCTTCCAGTTAAAGAGCACATCGAATTTCTCACAGTTCACACAGTCTTTGCTTCAGTGCTTTCACAGAAATCGTTCCTACAGTTACCGGCTTGAGGTTGAGGTCCTTCCYCAACTACCTCGACAATATAAAATAATATGCCGACCAAACTTCGGACGCAATGAACTTCAGACATGCACTGACTTCCATTCAAAGTGGAGCCATTAACACCTTCACCACCTCACTCTCATGGGGTACTTGGATTAAAACTAAAATCCATTGTAGATTACCATGACGTTAWACTGCTACTTATCCAGCATAGACCCTGACATATCAAACAAATATGCAGCGTTYAATGAGTCCCTGCATGACACTTGCCACCTCTTTGCATRCCCTAATAACCCTACACACACGACATCCTTRTCTCTTTGGTCCGACCCCGTCGAAACAGCACGCTTCCTCGGCCTACCGGTGGATGACGGCAATGACAACTTATTTAATCCTTACCATCCTAATGGGRATTAAGTACCCGTTATAACAACAAAAACAACAGAATATGATGACACAATAAATATCAAATTTGATGCGRTCTGTKYCATTTAAACTWCGTGCGCAAACCGAATCAAAATAAMTTTTTGRTTGGATTGGTGCATYCTTGTTTTAGGTTCGTGATCATTATAGGTCAATAAGTGTGTGTTAAGCAACTACTTGCTTACGACGMGAAAAGTTTGTCTGGGAGTTTTTACATATTGGATCAATGGACTCAAGGCGCGTTCCGCGAAAAAGATTTTTTAGTTTCGACAACAGAAAAAAATTACAGGGAACCAACATAGACTGACTCCCGTTTCATGTTTGGTCAAAAAGTCAGCCACMRTCATGCTGGAACGTGACATAGCATTCAGGGTTTTTGCCAAGAGTCTAGCATTGACACTTTCATACCGAAGACATTAACCAAAAGAATTGAGTCAATACATAAAAGATGTTGAGACCGAACATCATTGTTTTCAAGCACTGTAACATTTAAACAAATTAAATAGGTGGAAACGGAAGTTTTATGGCATTAATCTCRAATCATCATTTTCCCAAATTATGGAAAATTTCCAAAAAGTGATTCCAACTATGTTAGATTGTCTTTCTCATAGTTCAGTCTATATTATTACCTTACTAAGCCGCTATTTCGTTCACATTCTCGTGATGATATTGTGCTGGCGGAGCGTATAGATCCATTTCGGCCACTCGTATTATCAGTCACATTCGAACTTTGGAAATACAATCTGTGAAGAAGGTAATATAAAATAAATCTTTTTTAAATCATAATTGGTAGAAAAACAACAAATAACATTGAACTACATATACACAAGAGGCATAACTTTGTTTGACGGCTTAATACAGTAAAGGTGTTTTTAAAACAGAAAACGGTGCAACTTAAAGGCTCACTTAACGTCATCGATGTGCCTACTAAGCTATAAGCTGCTAAAACTATAACTAATTAGTATACAACGATAATTAATCTAGGTTTCGTAGCCTATGTATGAATATCCTACAGGAGCTCCAGTCAGCTAATAAACAAAATTGTTACATAAATCAAAACGGGCATAGTGTTCTGATGCTATCTTGGACAACGTATTAATTTTAATCTGATTCAATAGTTTATCTTTCGCATAATGAAAAGTATGCTATAAAACCATACGATTAGATTCAGTAATCCGTGGGTTGCTATTTACATATTGAGGTTTGGCAATCTGASTGTTTCCATTTGGCAACTCAAATGTAAAATTTTGTATGGAAGCGAACACAAGCGCTATTTATGTTGTTTACAGTAACTTAAAAATGAAATTAGTGATCACTTCCAGACGAATTTCGTGAAAGTCGTCCGAAATAAGTTTTAGTTTCGTAAATTTGTTCGGAATCCCACACAATTTGTCAATCTCTCAAAAAATAGGCTCCTGTCGATTGGTGGGGAGACATGTTACCCGCTATCGTGGGTGGTTAGAAACACCTCTATAAAATCGGAAGAGGTGATAAATGGTGGATTTACTGTATGAGTGTTTCGAGATCCAACAGAAATTGGTCGCGTACGAAKCATTTCCAAGCAAATKGTTGTTTGATAAGTTCTGCGTGGTAGACAACTATTTTTTTTGGAAGTTGTCTTTCAAAAAATCWGGAAACMMAACCACGGAAGACGGATCACTCSTCATCACGACAATGCGAGCTTTCACRYATTGYCTGAAACWAYTGYATTTTTGAGTACTCTAAACATCAATTTGATGACTCATCCACCGTATAGATCTGACTTGGGACCAAATTACTTMTTTTTATTCACGAATGGTAARCATAAACTAAGTGTTCGAGGTTTTTCGACACCTGATGGGGCGGTTCAGGCAAGAGTGTATAGAGTGATTTTTGATTATTAATGTATGTTCACTAGTTCCGAAAYAGAAAAGGCAATTCCCGTATGTACTATATTTCATATATYTGAATACGTTTYTTATACAAYAKTTACAAYTATTYMAAAAAGCAATTTATAGCAYCCTAAAAKTATTTTAGTCTGATTTCTGGTAATATTATTRCGGATCAGTGAATGTGATAACAAATATCGATGACAATCGTGATTCTCACGAGAAGCGTTATCGTTTCTCAGAATAGCTTGGGATCAATGTTTTTTATGCTTTTCATCATAACACAAAGCATAAGCAATTTTAGAGGCTTCAATAAAGAGATCTTGGAGATAATTATTTTAATCTTTAGGATAGTAGTTTTAACCAAAAACGTAATATTTGAAAGGACGCTAAGATAATGAATATCGTTTTTTTTTTTAATTATTTTTCCTACATGTTCATTTACTATATATGGTACACGTTCATTTTYTGTTACCAGATTATCAAACAAATTTAAGTTTTCTTAAAATTAAACACAATTTTCATTGAACAGCTCACCTGATACGATCATTGTTGAGATTTGGTTGACCGGATTCACATTTTCTAAGAAAATTAATTTATTAAAATCAGCACTAAGTAGTAAAGCATTAACCCTAACCTAAAAGCTAACCTAAATGTAATTCTTTGAGATTAATATATTTTGAGAAATTTAATATTTGGTTAAAGTGGCTCGTTGTTTCACTTGTATGACTGAATAGTTGGTGTAATAGCTACCAGATTGCTATCTCTTAACTACTAGTTAACTACCAGTTAAGTACTAGTTAATCTTCTTTAAAATTTGCTGAGGGAGAAGTTTCAGCTTTGAAACCTACACTTGAAATATCTTCATAATTAAAGCTCCAATTTAGCTTCATCAATATATAGGTCGTTCTGAACCAAACTTTTGCTTATGYGCACTCTAAGCATCGAGTATGCTAGCTGCTTCAGGAAACTAACTGATAGAAAATAACTGAAACTGAAAATAACTACAATATGCACTAATTGTAATGCAGTTTGGAAATATTACTAAGATTGGTTTCAACATGCTACACATTTTAGATTATCTAAGTCTAAGGTGGTTATAAAGGTCAAGGATAAAGTATTTCACAACTTTCATTTCGAAAAAACTTACCCTCTAATGCGATCCACACGATTTTTGCCTTGTCCGCTCGTTGAACCGCTGCCGTTTGTTATCGTATTGCCCGAACCAGTGCTTTTGCCACCYACGCTACCCTTGCTACCGCTCTTGTGGATCTTCATATTCATTGTGGAGCGTTTCGAATTCGTCTCCACCACTGTGTAGGGTATTTCACGTAGCTGATCTTCAGTCATGCCAGCAGTGTCGACTAGACCAAATTGCAAATGTTTCGCCAGTTCACTAGACCAAATGCGATTGCGCGAATCGGAGGGAGATCTGATGAATGATGGATTGAAATAACAAAAGAAAAAGAAGAATATAAAATAATATACATATACTTGTCTGCATATTTATAGTAATTTCCTGCGGTGTGCTACTCACTTGTTCTTGCGATGTCGCCGTGATTTGTGATGCGAATGCGTATCCGAATGACTATCGTTGCTGTGCATGCTGCGCGCCACCACRCTACTCTTCGAGACGGACGCCTGCTGTACGGAACTTTGACCCATACTAGCCTCAGCCTGGCGGCGTTGCACTTCACGCCACTGTAATGTAGAATCGATTAACTCTGCCGAACCGCTGCGCACCGATGACGAACGGTGGCCCGAATAACTGCGACCGCGCGTGCTCTCATGCTCCGAACCGGCAGAGTCGCGACGATGACGCGAACGACGACGCTTGCGATGATGCGAACGACCTGAACGGCCAGATCCACGCGATAATTCACTCTCATTATCGGAGGTACGCCGATGGCGATGCTTATGCCTGCCCACGGAAAGTGCAAAAGTGTGAGAGAGAAGACAAAATACAACAAAAATAACATTGAATTTAATATATACCAAGCAAGATCAAGGGTTAGCCATATAATTGCRCTCAAAGTCAATATTGCGCCAAATTATTGGTTATCAAAAACATATTTCAACTAAGCAGTCGACGGTACGTGCGATCAACTGCGATACAAAGCTATCGCCTAGAGCGATTTGCTCACGCCAAATGCGGTTGCGCCGCGCACAATGGATTTTTAAAGTGCTTGCGCTTCAATTCACTGCCTGCTTGTTGTGCCTATTGTTATTGTTCTACTCACCTGCGCGTCGAACGTGAATCGTTTGATGAATGGCTTTCCACCGAACTCGAACGATAGCGCTGCTGATGTGCCGATGTCGAGGATGAAGATACGTGATCGCGATGCGCTGAACGCGACGAATGCCGATGCTGCGACGAGCCGCCGGACTGATGGTGATGGTGTTGGTGTTGATGGTGATGATGCGAGCCGCTACCACCGCCACCGCCTGCGATCGCCGAACGCACAGAGCGCGGACTTGAGGGATTATTGCCGAATAGTGAGCGCTGTTGCGAGCGTGGCCATGGAGCGCTGCGCGTGCTGCGCGGTGAATCAGGTGTTTGCAAATTACTGTTGCAAACGCTGCCACCGCCGTTGTTGCCCAGCTGGGATGGCTGATGGTACGGACGTAAGCCGAGGCTCGTTGGTATGCTGTACGTGGAGCGGTAGGGACTCTCGTAGTTGCTGCGGCCGTAGAGAAATAGTGCGTAAATATTACAAGAAAAACAACAAAACTATTTCTATATATTCAGGTGTTTATTTGTAGATATTTCTACAAAATACTCGCATGATTTATAGAGACCTTCATAGGCTTGTGATTGAGGTGTAAAATAAATTGTTTAATATTAAAGACTTGAGCGCGTATAAGCCACCGAGCACTGTGGCTCTCAATGGAGGTGCTTTCATTGTGGCTGTGCGTAGCGGGTCTCTTAAGTGTGCATATCTTGTACGCGCTTGTGCGCTGTTACGGCTGATTACACACGTCACGCAGATACTTGATGCGCACGTGAGTGGGCGTGAGCTTGTGCAACGACTCACATGTGCGCGCTCACCTGCGGTCATGTTGTGCAATAAATATTGATTTGTATGCTTTGCTTGGATTTCGCATAATTTGGTTGATTAAGCAGCGCATAGCAATCGCCACGCTCGGACAAATTGAGTAATTGGAACCGCTGGAAGCGTGTCATGTGTCAGAACAGCATTCCTGGTGAATTTATGAAAGCGCAGGCGATAGGAAGTTTCTTTATTTAGAATCAGTTGGAAYATAGAGTACTGGTCAATCAAAATGCTTTTGGATTGGAGTAGCAATTAAGAGTTCATCTTGTTGCAATAGTAAGAATTCTTGGTAGAAATTGTTCATTAAGTCTTCGTGCGGTAAGGCTAATTTTCTTGGCGTACAAAACTTATCAAAGTTGTATGGAAGAGGGTAAGGTGGAAACATCCAGGCACTATRTTTTTCATTGTCTAGCCTTCGCAAGACTGAGGATGAAATATATCGGTAGTTTTACTTTCGGTGAAATAGGAAACATAGCAGCAACTGATAAGCTGTCCCAAAAAATTTGAAGGGTCGTCTGATTTGTAATATACTAGAAYATAAACCACGTTCATTAACAATCGTTACAACAAATAGTATACATCAAGACAGATAAGAGTTAAAATAAATTCAATGTGTTAACAGTAAATCCTTTTAATATGACTACAGTCGACATATTCAACACCAAGCAATAATCTATAGTCCAGTGAAGAAGTGGACGTGATTATTCGAAATCTCTAATTATGGAGGATCATTCATATTTTAACCTTCACATACTGTCAAACAAAGTCTTTGTCGGAATGTKCCTTAGTTTCTTTGATTTCGATTTTAGTTCTGTACTATTGTAACAATTTCAATAGAGATGTCATAACTTTCCAGAGGCCCCGAACAACGTATTTCTTGTCAACGCACACTGCAGATGCCGGACTAGGTTTCGTAACTGTTCWCAAGAAAGGCGGTGTGTGCTGAGGCGTTGTCATGGTGAAACTTTCAATCGACTGCGATGTGTTTTCTGACCCGATTGACTCTTCGTTTGAGTCTCTTGAGCACTTCCACGTAAAAGTTCTCGTTGACGGTTTGTCCAAGAGGAACAAATTGCTGGTGGACGATGCCTTTGATTTCAAAAGAGATAATGACCATCGTTTTCACCTTTGGATTTGCTCATTCTACCGGTCTTCATCAATGACCTCTTCCTGGCTCTCCAATATGGCCTGGTACCACCGAAACGCACCACTTCTTGCTTCATCATATCTAATGTCTCTGTCGCAGATTTTTCGAGTTTCACACAGAATTTAATCGCGTACCTCTGCTCTAACACAGAAACACGTTTCGCGAAAATGTTTGTACTGACTCTCCAGGTACTCGGAGACAACACCATCGCTCGCTCGCTCGTTAGCTAGCAACGACCAGATCCAGTCGGTGCGCGCACGCTCCGAAGTACAGTCGCGGCGGAAGAAATTCAGTCCTATTACATTCCGAACAAACCTTGTAAGATCTAACTACAACCTAAATATAAACCCTTCAAAATATAAAATCCTTACATTTTTTATAACGAATAATAAAAATCTCACGCTGGTAGATCGACTCAGGAGAATTCAAAGACGTTCTTCTTCTTTACTAACGTAGACACGTCTTACGCGGTTATAGCCGAGTTAACAGCAGCACCAGAAGACCTTCACGCTGTTTCCAATGGCGGGTACTGAATCGAAAACWTTCAGTGCTGGAGTCTTGTCTTTCATTCGGACATCATAACCTAGCCAGCGCAGCCGTTGTCCCTTAATCCGCTGTAGCACTAAAAAACTTGCGCAAAACTTTTCCCTCAAACACTTCCAAGGCTGACTTATCAGATGATGTCTTCGTCCATGTCTCCGCACGGGATTTATGAGGGACCTGTACAGTTTGTTATGTGTTCGTGGGGAGAGTACTTTACTTTTCAATTRYCTACTCMGTCCAAAGTAGCACCTGTTGGCAAGAGTGATTCTGCGTTTGTATGAAAGGCATACTTTTACAAGTCCTATGACAATACRTTTTAAGTGACTTAGATTTTACRTGGTTARTGGCTGTCGTTTCGAGAGTCTARGGATATTTGAATAAGTAGAAAKGRTGCTYTGACGTTCGATATTTTTCGARAAAATATTTTAGATAAAAATATMGAYCAAGAGAAAAGAGATTCAATTAAGATTATGCTCTTTAAATACATATACTATCATAACACAAATCTTATTTAAAATCAGGATCCATTAAAAAAAAAAAAAACAAATCATATAATTTATTGGGTTAGTTTGTCTCATTTTCGAGCTTCCAAAATTCAGTGTTATTATTTGAAAACTATATCATAGCAATTTTTGGGATCGCACTATCCCATACTTATAATCTTTCTGAAGAGCTAGCGTAAGCTCATAACGCTTTATTTTTATATGTGGCAAATTTTTGAAATACAAAAAATCGAATTTCTTTAATGAAAGGTTCGCATGAAATATCGCTTTCAGTACGCGTTCTCAACTCTAGAGAACCACTACCGGAAGTACGTGGTAATTTATCCTGTCTCTGAAGTCATTACTTAAGACAGTACTTGCAATATTATTGTGAAAAAGGAAAATGCCTTAATTCTAAGTAGGTCTATATCTGAGTAGTTGACCTTCAGCTTGTAAGAATCCATCACGATGAGAACGAAAAGGAGTTTCAATGTCTTTGTGCATTCTGGCGCTGGATCTAAGAGTCTTGGTTGAGCTCAATAAGCGTTGGTGAGCAACCAGCATTTGYGGAGTTGCGAAAACCTTTTGGCCCAAAGTTGGTCTAAATGATATTTAGGTGATAAGGTTTTTAAGATTTTTTAGATCGCAACCTGTTAAAGTTGCAATGAGAAAKATGGGGTGGATACATYTAGACACTTTTTCCTCTACTGTTCAGTTTTTGTCAAACTAAAGTTGAAGCATCTCCTCAATAAATTTGTGGCAGGCTCTGCGCATTTAGCCGATATGCTAGGGTCTTTTGTTTTATACCCTTTCTCCTAAGCGCGGATATCTCGTTCTAGGAGTTCTGAGAATACAACAAATGGGTGTCTTTAGTTGTCGAAGTGGGATTTTAGTTGTCGTAGTCTCATGAGGAATATATCATTTACCTAACTTAAGCAAAGCTAGGTCTATGGGCTAGAACACCTTTATTAGGCCTTGAAGAACAAATAAATAGTATAAAAGCTGTTTTGTTTGCATTCGAGTAGTATTTGGAAATTCTTGCGCAGCATAAAGAACGAAATTCTATCTCATCCACAGGGTCTAAGTTATAGTCTAAATTACTTAAAAACGCTATATTTCCATTTGAAAAAATACAATCTGCTCTGTGATAAATCACCACACTAAACAATAGTTTGCTATGTCTAGACGAAACAATTGTCTTTAATTGAATTTGAATGGATTTGCGGCACGATCCCGGGGTTGAGGTGCGACCACTCAAAGTGTCAGTACACAGTTAGAAAAAAAAAAAACAACACTTACCAACATTATATTTGTTTTCTTAGCCTTCAACGCTTATATATCAAACACAATACTTTTTTGGCAAAAGGACATGTGTGTTGCATATGCGGCCTTGTTGTTGCTGCAAAATTTCGCTAACATATTGAAAGTCAAGAAGTGCACTTGATTTCTTCGCTAATGAAAAGGCAAAATTTCGAGTGGAAAAAGCGACGACGGAAAAGCAAAATCTCGATTGCCAAATGAAAATGAAAGGAAACAGAAATCATAAAGCGCGTGTGAGGACGCTCGGGTGCTGCGAACGATTGGGTGCGCCTGCATGACAAATGTGCTACCGTTAGTTGGCAGCAAAAACCACATGCTTAGCATAAGCAACGCTGTGCTCTTTGAAGCACCGAACACGCTGCCAAAAAAAAAAAAAAAAAAAGCGCAAAATCAAAAGCGAAATAAATCAAAAGACTGCTAACAATATTGCTGCTTGGCGGTTGGAGCGCCAGCGAGTCAGCGTGAAGTCAAAGGAAATGATGCATCAGATGATATATGAATGTGTGTGCGTGTGTATGGCAGGTCAAGGCTTGAGTGCACATCCGCCGGAAATCAGCAAAAGTGTATGCAATGATTCAATAAAAAATCGAACACACAAAAAAAAAAAACGATTGGAAATAAATAACTTTGGCGCTGAAAGAGCTAAATAACACAATCTTTTGTATACAAACATACACGAGGTAGATGCGTGTGTGTGGATAAATTTCGAGTGCTCTGTGGATAGGGTAAACTTACTTGGGCATCATGTTGGCCGCTTGCATGCCCGCGCCAATAACGCCGCCGCCGCCGCCGCCACCATTCTGATAGACGCCGCTGTCGGTGACGCTGCTGCCTACGCCGCCGTTGGTGTGACCGCCGACCGTTTTGCCTTTCAGCGTGTTGCTGGCGCTTCTACTGCCGTGCAGAAAATCATCAATCACGCGTCTTGGCTGGCGCTTCGAGGGGACACGTGTGAATGCCGGCTGTATGCGGCCCAGCGAGAGTGCATCCTTGGCCGTGGGCTGCTTCTCCGTGCGACTGCTGTGTGCGTGTTGGACAAATGATGAGTTGGCAAGTTGGTTGGTTGATTGGTTGTTGGTTGGTTGATTTTGGGCGAGTGGTGATGGTTTTTGTTGGTCGTAAAGTAAAACAAATCAATCCATATTCGTTACGGGTTAGGTTGTTTGGCAAATGCGGGTGATGTGATGATGTTGGTGGAGTACATAGAAAAGAATGAAAAGAAAAAATTATACGTTTGGGTGAACAATGCGGAGAACAAACAAAAAAAAAAAAATAAATAAATAAAAACACAAACAAAAACTATAAACGAAATGGAATAACAATTCAAAGCAAACATTCTACATACACATGAGTTGTACTTGAGGTTGTTCCAGCAACAATACACAATTCTTTGCGACGCAACGCAAACCTAATAAAGCCAAGTATATTGGAAAAAAAAAGTCCACATGGCAATAAAGCGACGTATTTGCCTGGCAGCGCTGCGCTCGTAAAAAATTTGACGCAAGCCAAGAGGCGTGCACCGCCTAGCCCCTTATCTGTTGTGCGCCATTGCCGCGCCTGTGGCCGCAGACAAATGAGTTGCACCCGAGAGCTAACCTTGTCGTGACGAATGTCGTAAAAACCACAAACAATCAGCGAGAACAAGCTGCCACATGCCATGGTAAAGTGCAAAAGGAATGCGCTTCTTGGCGCACTGCCACGCAGCCAGTCATCTATCTTCCAGACAAGCGCTTGTAGACGAAGAGTTGTGGCTAAAATCGGCATAGAAAACTGCTAAGGGGCTTTGGAGACGCATTCATCATGCGAACTCGCATACACTCAGTTCTGCATAAAAGAAGCGGCTTCAATAATTTATTCGCAATAATATTTGATGAAATTTTGGACGCAGAGCTTTAGAGGTAACACATTCTGTATTCCTTTTAGAATACATTATTGATTGGCTTAACTGACTCTAATATTTTTCCAATTTTACTTTAATCAGTAAATTTACAATCTCTTATGTAAAGGGTGATCCTTTTCGAGGTTTCCTACTTTTTTAAAGAAAAAACATAGAAACTTCAAATTTAATGGGGAATGTTTATTATCATTCGAAAAAACAATTCCTTTGCATTAATTTTTTGAAAATTATCTCCTTCAAATGTTGTGGTTGGTCGTGACTACGTCTCAGATGATCCATCCGTTAAGTACAATTTTCGATGACTCGTTTGCGCATTTCGACTGGTAACTGGCGAATGTCATGCGTGCTGTTTTGCTACCTGTATAGATTGATTTAACATATCCCCACAGAAATAAGTCTAACGATGTCATATCACACGATCCTGCTGGCCAATCGATCGGCCCAAAACGTCATATTTTCTGTTTACCGAAATATTCTCTTAATAAATTTTTTGATTGATGCCATATGTGAACAGAGTCACCATCTTTTTGAAACCAAATATAGCCAAGATCCCGAGCTTCCTTTTCAGGCTTGAAATAATTTTTAATAAATAATAATAATTTTTAATAAATATGGACCGATGATACCACCGGCTCACAAACTGTACCAAACCGTTTTTTTTTTTTTTCTGAATGAAATGCCAGCTCTTGAACCACTTTAGTTTGCTCTTCGTCTCAAATGCCTCAATTATGCTTGTTAACATACCCATTAAGCCAAAAATGAACCTCATCGTCGAACAAAACTTGGTTCGAAAACCTCGATGTKKCTTTAGAAGGTCGAGCGGCTTCAGTTCTTGCAGAAGCTGTAGTTTGTACGCTTTCAATTTAAGATCTTAAGGTGAAATGGGCCAAGTCCCATACGTATGTAAATCAGTCCGAGTTGTTGCGAACGCTGTCGAATCGACCGTCCACGGCCTTCGTGTACACGCTCAGCCTCGTCTTTGCGGGACGCGGGAAGTACATGCAAAGTTACTTCACGGACATGCAAATCAACATAATATTAATCTACATAATAAAAAAGTTTTCGACAATTGAACTCTCCAAAGTCGCGAAATTTTAAATTTAAAAAAATCTTTTTATAACATCATAACCTTTAGTCTAAAAATTTTGAAAATATTTAAAATATTTTTAATTCATGCATTTTTTTAAATTTCCTAATGCGCTAATTAAATGCACTAATGCATTAAGCAACTGAGTCTAGTGCGCACACTTGAAGAGTTTCAATCAAAATGATACAAAAGCAGACAACTTCGCAAATAATTTACTACCTCAACAAGCAGCCTCTTAGAAAAAATCTCATCAACTGGTTTAATTTGATGGTTTTTGGTCTTGTAAGGCTAGCAGAAATACGTAAGTTTTATTGCCAACTTACAAATACACACACGCATACATGCAAATGTAAGTTGGGTACATTCTGCTAGTTGCGCTGTCTTTAGCCCGCAACCCAAATCGTTAAGGGCGGACACACATTTGAAATCATTAAATTTTCAGCAAATGAGCCAATTTTCAACACCATGTCTACACATTTGATGCAGAAATAAACACGCAAGCACATACATCATCGCCTTCATCTGTGGGGTCATTAAAAAAATCTTAGCTCATCTGCGGCCACTATGCGAACGGAGTGGTCATTCGCCTGAAGACGGTCTTCATTAATGACCTTCACTACGCTAAACTAAGCAAATGCTGGCGAATTCCTTCACTCAACTAGAAGTATACGTATACATACAATACGCATACATACCTACATACAAACACTCACATACACAAGAGTGCAAATTTATTTCGCCCAACTGTGTGGCAAATGTTGCCAAATGTAGCTTCTTTCGCCGACTAATTGCGAAAAGTCCCATAAAACTGTTTTATACACACACGCATATATACAGTCGTATATAGTATAAGGCTGTGCGCATTTGCGCCACTTGAGAGCCTAGACCATGGCTGGCACTTTTGTTGTAACTTGAGTAGAGGCGCGCAATAAATACGTTTGGTATAGCCCTACAACGCATGGAACTTTATGGTTTTACATTTGATCAACAGCAAGGTGGGCACACATGCAGTGGAATATTTTCGTGTATGCATATGTGTGTGTAATTAAACTTGGGGAATAGTAAAAGCAAATCGTAAAGAAATGGCGATCGCCAGTAATAAAACGCTACAGTGAAAGAGAAGGAAAAAAAGGGCTGCGGCCGCAAAATAGGTACCAACTAAAGATAAAAATGTGAGACCGTGTAGCCAAGCGCTATTTGTTATTTTAATTTTGTATCAAGAAAATGTCCATGGCATCAATTGAAATATTGACGGACAGCAAAGTTTGGCGTTGAAAGTATACCTTACACTTTACAAAACTCMTATCAGTAGCWGAAACTTCTTSCGAATTTCRTGCCATATATCAAATGAACTTAATGTAAATACCCATATGAAATAAAATTTGAGTTTTGGCTATAAAATGATTAAACATTGGTTATATATTGGTTATATCTGACAGCGGAAGCTGAAAATTTTATTCTACTTAACTATATGTAATATTATGTAGTGATGAATCGAAAGGAATAAAAAACACAATATCGATTATTTTGATTATACGTTATTTTGCATTTTAGGTATACTATACATTGTATATTGATAGATTTCAGAATCGCCTTACTCACGAATTAAGAACAAATTTCTTGTCATCGAATACTGGTCCGAATACGGCTCGTAATAACTCTCCATGCAAGTACCTTAAATGCTAAGTTCGAACACTGGAGTTCATCTTTTCTATGACTTTACAAAGGACTACATACAGTAGTCCACGTGCGATCTCTCTAGATCCGCGATCTAACCTAACGTGTCCTAACCTCGTT